GCCTAGGCTTCTGCGGAGAGGGCGGGGCTCCCCGCAGGTGACTCTCATCCAGGTGGAGTGCCCCCCCCCCCACCCACCCATCCCGCGGAAGTCACGCCCACCGCCCGTCTCGCCCATCGCTTGCTGCTTTGGCCCAATCAACAATAACAACAACGCGAGAAACTCGTCAAAGTGCGGAACCGAAAGTGACCCTGGATCCGTTTTCCACTTTCGTCACCCCCCCCCCTCCACCGATATTGCGCGTAAAACAATATGGAGACGCACAACTCGGGTTACCGTCCAAATGACAAGCAATCGACGTCATTTCGATTAAAATGTATCTTTCATATATATTCTTTAGCTTCTCCAAAGTTCACTTGGTGTTTTTGTCGAAAGCTTAGGAAAGCTTGTAATTTTGACTGCCCCCCCCTCCCTCTTCATACATATGGAAATGAGCCTGACTCACCCATACGGCTATTCACACGTTAAGTAGGATGCCCACCACCAGGAAACAAGCGAAATTCCTCTGCGCACCCATTTTGCAGCATATAAATCTTTTTTTTTTTAAGTGTCTAGACTTTCTTAAAAGGATAAAAGGAACAGATATTTCAGGTCAAGATTAGATTTGAAAGCTGCCACATTGTGGTTGTTTGTGAAAGCCGCACTGGTGTTTGATCAAGTTTTTCAAAATAATTTTATTTCAAACCAATGAGTACCGTTTATAGTATTGTAACCTTTTTTATGCAGACACAGTATTTAACATATTCATTTATGCTGCTAAATAGCAAAAAGCATTTAATGTCGGTGTGCGTAAAAACAAAACAATTCCCAAAACAACTTTTTTTATGTTGTTGAATCTTGATAGGGTACGAAGCACATTCAAATATCAAATGCGTATTATTAGACTCTCTCCAGAGCATATAATTAGAATTAGAATTTTAATCAACCTCTAATTATTTTTGGTGTCAGTAGCAGAGATTTAAAACTGGCAATTTAAAAGCAATTAAAAAAAAAATGTTTCGGGTCGAACCACGAACAGCATTGACTTGTCTCAACTGGTCCGTGACACAAAAAAGGTTGGGGACCGCTGCTCTAGAACAACAAGGTCACGAAAAATGTTTGTTAAAGATAATATTGGCTAATCAATCTTAAAAGATGATGATATTTCGATTCCATTTCCGATAATCTGAATCTAACGCTTATGTCCTCGTTTTCATTCTCTCCTCGACTATATCAACCCCCCACAGCCTAACTGACCATTGAGGGGACAATCAAGAGGTGGAAATGGGTGTTTTGTAATCTGCGCAGCATCACAATGTAGTCTGATCTCATGCTAATACACAGCAGGAGCACCAGCAGCATGAAGGGAAAGCTCATCTGAAACCTCCAGGAAATCTCCATCCGAAAAGCTAAGCCAGGAGCAAGAAATGAAACGCGAGAGGGTACGTGAAGACAAAAAGAATTGCACCATGGGGTGGGGGTTACTGCGGTGCGTACAGTTGTGTGACTTATGCGAGTCAAGGGGTGTATGTGACATTTTTTTCTTGGGTTGTTCTTTGGCCCTCATCCTTTTCTTAATAGTTTTGTTCTTGCTCACAGGCCGGAAGTGGTCGGCGGAGATCTGGGGTCGCAGAAAAACAGGGCTGCGTTTTCCTGTGCTTGGTGTGCCGTTATTTGTCAAGACTTATTTTAGATCTACGCTGACAGAAAAACAGGGCTGCGTTTTCCTGTGCTTGGTGTACCGTTATTTGTAAAGACTTATTATTTATTTTAGATCTATGCTGGATGTAGTCTGATCTCATGCTAATACACAGCAGGAGCACCAGCAGCATGAAGGGAAAGCTCATCTGAAACCTCCAGGAAATCTCCATCCGAAAAGCTAAGCCAGGAGCAAGAAATGAAACGCGAGAGGGTACGTGAAGACAAAAAGAATTGCACCATGGGGTGGGGGTTACTGCGGTGCGTACAGTTGTGTGACTTATGCGAGTCAAGGGGTGTATGTGACATTTTTTTCTTGGGTTGTTCTTTGGCCCTCATCCTTTTCTTAATAGTTTTGTTCTTGCTCACAGGCCGGAAGTGGTCGGCGGAGATCTGGGGTCGCAGAAAAACAGGGCTGCGTTTTCCTGTGCTTGGTGTGCCGTTATTTGTCAAGACTTATTTTAGATCTACGCTGAGTAGAAATAAAAAACAAAAAAATCGACATTGACTTTTAATGTAACAGGAATTTGTTAAGTAACATGACATGCGATTTCAGCGAAACACTGAATGCCGTAAAGTGCTTGAGCCGGTCTATAAACTACTAAAGTGCTATTGAGTGTTGTGACTATTTCCATACTGAACAGTACGTTGTCATCGCTACCATGAAAAGGAGTGCGCAGAAACTATTCAGAAGGCAACTGTGGCAACAAAATGTAAGTTAAGACACAAGGCAAAGGAGTATCTGGAGCTTCTTCGAGCTGTCCCTTTTGCTTCTGAGGCTGATATCCATTGGAGCCTTCCACTAAAGAGTCTGTTGAGGTCAGGTTGTATGCAGGGTTGAGACGTCCATCCTTCGGGAGAGATGAAGACAATGGTGGTGGTGGTGGGGGTAGTAGTGGTAACTGACATGGAGCAGCGGCGCGCCGTGTGGTGAGGTTTTCAACTGGCTCGTTGAAGCATCCGTTTCCCTGCTCAGCGCAATCCAGACCCGGCGGGGCTTCTGATTTGCAGTGCAACTCGGGAATCGCCATCAATTCTGCCTCAGTGTGATGACTCATTTCCACAAAAACAGGACGGCAACTTTGTTTAGCCTGGGGGGGGGGACAAAGTGATTCGCGCTAATTTCACAATGGGACAATCTGAAACACTTTCCTGAGACGTTTGTTAATTTCCACTACTATACTGGTTTTTGTTCCCCATTGACCAATGAGGTTATTTAAATGTCACTGACATTTGTTACCTCAACTTCACGTGTAAGCCATAACCTGTAAAAGAATGCTTACCAGTGATGTCATCCACTTGTCCTTCAATACCGGCATTGGGATCGGAGGATAGACCTTCAGTTTGATACTACAAAAGGTAACAATGGACAAGCAATATTTGAAGGCGCAAGATGAGTGTCACATGATGCGAAACCGTGCCATGCTCCTTACCATTCCCAGTTTCTGTAGCAAAGGATAACAATCAAGCAGAGGAGGACAAAAATAGTTGCGATGGTGATGCCGACAGCCTTGATCAAGTTATCAGCTGGTGGAAGACAAACGGCGCAGATGAGGAACGAGGGAGGAGTGTTCTGATCGACGGGTTCTTTTCATCAATATTTTCCATGCACTTCTAACCCAGTTCCTAGCCAGCGACATACTCAGTGAATTCAAGGTGACGGTGATGGACGTCGCACCGCATTGTCCAACGGTTGTGTTTGCCTTCACTGTGAATGTGTACGAGTTGATTTGGAGATTTCTGGCTGTCAAGCTGGTATCTCGAGGATTGTCTGAAATAAGAGAGACTTTGACATTCTACGTTCACACTTCGAAGCTGGTCTTGATCTGAACACCAGCCAAATGCGGATGGCCTTCCACAGTGCCAAGTAACACGGCTCCCCCTACTGTCCATTGTAGGAAACGTTTTAATATTGATCACGTAAGTGCCTCAAACAGTTTGCGCATAATGGCGTAGGCATGTGAGTATGTGTAATTTTGCGTTAGCTGTGTCCATCTCAGAAACACAATTGAGTTCCACATTACCGGTGCTGATATTCATGACGCTGCTGTTGTTTTCCCAATAGTATAAGATGTAGCCTTGGATGAAAGCAGACTGCTCTTGTAGGGCGACAGGATCCCAGGATACCTCAACATCCATATCCCTCTGTTTCCAATTCAGTGTTCTAAAAAGACCGTCTTGTATGACTGGAAAAGCAGAGGAATCGGGGAAACCCTTCACAAACAAAGTAAACATTTGATAACCCTTACATCGTTCACAGATGCCACAGGCAGGTCTTACTTTTCTCCTTGACATATCCTTCTCGTCTCTCAAGCAACACGGGAGCTCCGGGTGTGCAGCCGTAGATCGACAGCAGGTATCTGACACCTTCGCGGAAATTTTCTGGTGGAGACGTAACGCACAGCGGCATGTCATTCTGTCAATGCAACTGGAGATATCCGCAGGAACCTGAACTTACCTGAAAATATACCGACATTAGTTTCACTAGGCGGGACCCTCAACCAGTCGATTGTGCACAGCCCTCTGCTTGGGCACCAGTCCACAATATAGCCACAGCTAGCGATCGGACTGGCGGACCAAGACAGGTTGAAACCACCGTTACTGCCTTGGGTCTTTGAAGATTTAACTCGACCACTTCCTGTCAGAAAATATGCCTTCAAAGTTAGTGAGGTCATAAGTTACATTAGTTCCAGAGACCAACCACAATGGGGTAGGTAAAGAGATAGCTATCTAGCAAGCTGGATGGATCGCTAGCTAGCAAGATGGACAGATAGAATTTACAATGATTTATAATTCGTCGCATACCTGTATTGAGGACAGGGATGGTGATCGTTGAAGGAGAAGAGTTTCCATATTTATTCCTGGCTGTAACACTGACCACGTGTTCTCGCGTGGCATCCAGACTGAGTGCTAAACTGCGCTTTGGGTGCAACACTCTGGATTTTTTGCGTCTCTCAGAGGTTGGTTTCCAAGTAACTTCATAATCTATGATGTCGCCGTGGCTTTGGTTAGCCAGTGGTACCTACAAAAAGTGAATATTAGCTATTCTGTGAAGCAGAGCAGAAGCACGCGCGAATGCGCACACACTAACACGCGCGCCCGCACTTACTTTCCAAGCGATTATGGTTTGGCTGTCGTTTCCCTGCATCCATACATCAAGAGCGTCGGGAACTGTAGGACATTGAGGCGAATCAACTTGAGCGCAATCAGCAAGCGAAAAAAAAAACGTATTCATGCGGCGCGCTTGTTTCATCTATTGCCCATTTTCATGAAATACCAACCATCGCCCATTGTGAGGAACTCGACACTTGAGCTCCACTCGCTCCACTTCCAGAAATGTTGAGCTGTTCCACATCGCATCGTCACATTGTATCGCCAGTTGGGAATCAAGTTATCCAAGACTGTGAAACGAAGAGCCACTCCAACGCAGTCTCTCTAGGATCACAGTCAGGACAAACAAATGTTTTATTTCGTGGTTGTGACCATGGATGCCTTTCTGACACTTGCTTTGTAAACTTACCACCGCGGATGTTTGACTATCACTAATCTTTAGTTGGCATCGTATGCTGAGATCGTCATACATTTGTATTGCCCAATTCCAGTCTAATCTGACACTACTGGCATTCACTGATGAGACCTTAACTTCTTGGGGAGCAAACATGTGCACTGGAATGACACAAACAAGAACTTAATGAATTTGAGGATGATCTAATGCAGACTCTTTCCACGATAATTTATTATTCTTTGACTTTTTAAACGGATGTACCTCTTCTCATAAGGTCTGCTCTATCCGTGAGATTGACTGTACCGAGTTGGTTTCGTGCTGTTAAAGTCCAATTCCTCTCTCCTATATCCACTCGCACTTTGTGAGAGCATCTCCCATCGGACTCCTCGGCACATGTACTGGAACACAAACGGCAAGAGGATTTTAATCTGACGCGTGTCAAGTACATCGTTTTACATTTTATTTAATTCTTTCCTCAACTGTATTGACAGAGAGAGCACTTTTAAAACAACTACGGCTAAAAAAAAAGCGCTATACATGGAGCAAGAATAATTCAAACAACAACAATCAATCAAACGCTACCGTTACTTTCAGTTAAATGTTGAATAAAAAAAAAAAATCTGAAATGTTGCAATCACAAATGTGTTGTCGTGAAAACTTAAAAATGCGGAAGTTGAAAAGGACAATCTAACCGCTGACGATGACACATTGTCAGCACCATTTGAGCCCTTCTGTGGAATCAAGATGTCGGCCGTCCACTGCAGCAGCATCAGTGGTGGCGAGTTATACTTCACTACTATACTTTAGATCTGACCACCGACCCAAAAAGTGCAGCGTAATCAAGTTTTACAATCATGAAATCATATGGCCCCTCTTCAACTGAACAACTTGCTCAGGTGCCACCTTTCACAGAGGAAAAAGGGTTTCCAATACCTTCCAAGTAGTTGATAGGTCGTTGGACTCTTGAGAGCCAAGTGTGTGTTTCGCCCCACGGTCCACAGGCACTCAACCGATTGGAAATCCCGAGTTTCACAGGTGAGATCGTGATCGGCGGGTGGGTCTGGTCAATCATTAAAAGATGTGAAAAAATCAAATGATTCGCCGACGCAATTCTCAGCCCCCTCATTCATCGACATCCCAATTTTAAGGAGGGGAAGTATACCGTGTCCTGCACTTACATCCAATGTAAGCACAAGCGCCGTTGTGCTCTTGATCTGTTTCACAAATCACATTGGCGCCGCTTTCCACTGACCCTTTGATCAGGTCGACCGTCAGGGAATACGTATGATTGCCGATCTTGCGAATGACCCAGTTGGTGCTGCTGTCTCCGCTGACATTCAGTGTTTTCCAAACTTGGCCCGTTGGTAAAACACAGCAGAAGGTAGCTTTACTGCCAACTTGAAACACCTTGTCTCGTGGATAAACCTCCGGCAAAAAGGAGTGATCGTTGCCTGCCGTTAGACAACGCAAGAAACGCCGTGAACATCCGACGTCAACCAATGTGTGACGCCGCCACCCTGTGATCATGAGAAGCGGAAGCATTACGAACCGGGAACGATCCGCTCCAGTTGCCACGGACTTGTCCGGCCTTGGGATCGAGACCTCAGCTTCAGTGTGATGGGAGCACACTCCAGCGCTAAATGGGGTGACCAGCTCCAGGAATGACGAGATCCCATCTCGTCCGACCTCACAGCCACTTCCTCCTAAATAAACGGGGAACCGCAAGGACAAAAATGTTCACGTTTCGACTTCTCTGTAGCCTCCCAGATACGATGATGGCAAACTTACATAATGTGTCGGCTCGTCAGCTATGAGCGCCTCCAGCTCATACGTCAGCGCATCGCGCAATGACATACATGACGGGTCATCCTCCCATGTTAACAGGATGACCTGGTCTGAAGTGCTAACGGTTATATTCTGCGGTCCGCAGGGAAAAACACCTAATGGAATATCAACATATGATCATGACAGAGAGTCCCCCAATTCGGCGAGCCATCCATTCAAATTCCAGGGCAATGTAACGAGTGGTGTCCAGAATGTTTCCGTGTATGAAAATAGGTCATGTTTCTCGACCCCGCCGCCTCGTTGGGAGAGTCGCTGATATTTGTACTGCCAGTCAAAAAAATTAACTTTACATTTCTTTGTATTTACGCTTTACAACATTTGTTTTGATGTGGAAACTGCCACGATAAAATGTGAAATACAAGCACAAGGTGGGAACAAGAGCGGCTGTGTGAGTGAACATTTGTGACAACCAAAGAGGTCTTTAGTGACGCCGATGTGAAAATTCTCTCGTTTGGAGTAAACGGCAACAGAGCCTGTTAAAAGCATGTCGTGGTTTCTCATCGAATAGACAAGTTTGGGATACTCACCAGGGTCTTTTAAATATCCATCTTGCGCGCTGCTGCAGAACAGTGAGACAAGTAACAGCCATGCGATCATGATGCTGAGACTATGTGGCCAAGATCCGTGAAGGAGAACGTTTCAGTCCATCTCCACGGAGTCAGTGCAATTATTTGTCTTTTCCCGAAGCTGCTTAGCTGTGGAAATTCATTTTCGTTTAGTGTCACTCATTATCATTAAAGATGATATATTACTGAAGTAAATCAAATGGTCTCACCTGAGAAAACGGTTCCAGAAGAATGAGAACAAATCATAAGGGCAAAAAATATACTGTATATATATTTTCTGAATCCAGTTTGTCCCTGTAGCACCGCTCGGACCAAACCCAGCCTGTGGTAGACACGCTGGAGTCCATTTGCTCGCTAACCTTCTAATGATTGTGAAATCCATGGGGATAGGAATGCAGGAAATGGAGAGGCTACTTTCTCGTAACCATTAGTCATAGTGGTCAGATAAAGACATGAACTCTCAATGCTCGGAAATGACGAACTCTGTTTGCAGTGGGGTGGGCCTCAGGGAGGGAAAAAAAATGTTTTCTACGGGAGGAGTTAAAGGGATTTGGGGTAGGAGTAAATTGTGGTTGGGGAGATGATAGTTTTCTTCTACACATACTGTCGTGGTCCCTCCGAGCAAGGCACTGAATACTGAAAGGGGAAATCAACCCCCTCCCGCCCCAATTCTTTACAACAATAAGTTCTATGCAGCCCTATTAGTCGAAAAACAGTTGGTGGAATATGAGTCTCTTCCAATCAGTAGTTGAGACAAGCGGCGTATCATGTGATGGTTTGAATCTCGCTATGGATGGAAAGAAATTGCAATTGTTTTGCTTCTCCTGAACACGCAGCCCCCACCACCTCCACATAGATTTCTCTCAGGACCTCACCGGTGATATTCCTCTCATTATTTTGAAGGCACTACCTTTGAAGTTGTGGTTTGCGAATCTGACTCATTCAGAGTTTGAGATTCTGATCTCGACACCGGCCTTCCTGTTGTACTTTACACGTTGCGTGGGCTTTCTTTGGATATTTCCCAAAGCACCTGTGACCATGATGTGATTTTTTTTCTTTTTAATCAGTCCATAAAACGGATGGCTATTGTTTAATCTTCTCAAGGGTGTTTCACTTTCTGTGAAGTACAGCCTGTCGGTCCAAGTTTCCTTCCTCTCATTGTTTGCATCCGACCTCCAAGAACAGGAGGCCGCGTTTCCATGCGGTTACGGCTTAAACGTTGGTCGCACCAGTTCAAGTTTTTCACTTTTTTAATTCTTGACTTGCACAATAACAAAACACAATTGCAAACTTGAAAAGCGCATTCAAAGAAAAGAATCAAAATTATTGGCCAAGTATGTTCACAAACAAAAAAAAAAGAAATTGAGTTGCCCAGTGACAACAGAGGAACAAAGGCAAAACAATGACCAATAGGGGGTGACAGAAAGGGGAAGCCTGGCGGCGGTTCGCTGTTAAGAGCCCCGAAAAAGGTGCTCTCTCCTGAGTCCTTTAATTCCTCAGTCAATAACATGAACTAAAAGCCTGAACTCGGAACTTTTGTCTGATGTTCATTTCATCCGAAACCCAATGTCTTCACAAAAGCCAAAGAATTGACCTTGCTGTTCCAATACTTTTGGAGGGCACTGTTATCTGCACGACTAACACATCTGAGCACGTTCCTTTACAATAAAATGTTGCAAATGCTCATACAGTAATGGTCAACTCTTGATCATATGACATGTGTCGTTTACACAATTTCATTAAACACACAAAAATACATCCTGCCGTGTCACAAAAAAAAAAAATAAATAACTGGCCATTCAAAGTATATATCCATGCGGACCGTGTCAAGTGACAACTTCAGTCAAGGCATAAGTGAGTCTTTTAAAACTGGCAAGTAGGACAATAAAATCTTTTCAAGTCGGGATAAGGGGAAAAAACAAAATAAATATTTGACCGCTAGCCCATAATTTATCTGCAGCGCAAAGGTACGTCTTGCAGAGAGTAGAGGCGTTTCTGTGTCATGCGATATTTTCAGGCATTATAAACATCACTAATTTGACTTTTATGGTTGACTGTGCTTCAAACTTGTGTTCAAAGACAGACTGCAAGTAAATTACTTAGTTGTGTTCAATTATGATTTTTTTTTTTTACAGTAGCAATCATTGGACTCGTGTGAACGAGCTGGACAAGATTCATGATATGTCAAAAAAATTTTTTAAATCATCTCGAAAAAAGTGTGTACTTTTATCACCTGTGAAACGAGACCGCTTCCTTCAAGTTTTTTGTTCCCCAGCGCTCACTAAACCTGATTCGCGATCGAGAGCAAGCATCACAGTTTGGCTCTGGGAGTTTGTTCCAGCAGTGTCCTCATGTCGACGAGTGCGCTCTCCATAGCTTGAGCCAAATCGGCCGCGTTTGTTTCTTGACACCCATTGAAAGACGATACGGCAAAGTTGATGTGGTCGTTCATGGGATTGTAGCAGACGCCATATCCGTTCGGTACAACGGGGCCAAAACACATGACGCAGTCAGTCTTGGACGGCACCTTTTGGGAAAAAAAGAACCAAGGGTTTTTGAAGCCCACATATGAAAAGCGCAGGACACCCCTCCTATAGGCGCTTCGCTAGCCACAAATCCACCTATTTGTGTTCTTGTCCAATGAAACCGATCCAACACAATACTTTATATCAGGGGTGTCTTTTTTCTCTATGCGGCCCTCAAAAGAAAACAAAAAGTTCAGACACCTGTGCTGTAAATGATCATCTTTCCTTTTCATAATTCAAGACAATACAACCTAACGAAGTATACCTGACTTGTAGATAAACGGTAGTGTAAGGCTTTGGCATAGGAGGGATCTTTGAAGACATCGGGAATTGAGATCTTTTCTTCAGCAGCCTGCATCTTCAGCCCAAGTAGATGTCGGTCAATAGCTTGACCGCTGATTGCCTGACAAGGCAGACAAAGTTGCGTTGTCCATGTCAATTTCTCATAGATGCGAACATACAATACGAGAACTTGCCATTCCTCAAAAATTAGTGCTGAGTAATGCTACTACCACTGCAAAGTACAGTATATCCCCGGCACATTAGGCAATTGAACAAGCTCGGGCATGATGACACAAGCCATTCATGGGGTACTTTCTGGGGCATCGTTGCGAATACCACTGATTTTGCTCCAGACACAAAGTTAGGGCAGCACCTCTCCTTCATGGATTTCACATTTGAGATGACGTAAGCCAAGGAGATTTTCGATCAAAATAGCTTGGGCGCGCCTGATGTAAGCGGTCCATTCAAATAACAAATTCTGTATTGCAGCAACATTGCGTGCCAATTCAACAACCATAACTAATTCATAAATGCGGCAAACAAATCCTTTTCAACGGGAACCGAGAAGGCAACCAAATCACTCACCAGGTTTGTATATGACCTGTGTGCTACGACAGCTTTCTCCAAGAGGTCCACCTTCTCAGTGTTCTGCAGCAACGAGAAAGATGACAGACAGTAAGTACATCACTGTTCAACAAGAGGACGCCTCAATACGTCATTCAATTTTGCACACAGACCCTTTGTTTGGTACCTTTAAAACAAGTGTTGTTAAAGTGCTTTGACGACACGAGGAGGAGTGCCATGCTCATAGACTACCCCAAAAAACAAAAAAAGAAAAAGGATTTGGAAAAGGAAAACCCAGGCAATCCAAGAACCCAACACAGCCAACTCAGACTAGGAGGGGCAGATGTGGGTGGGAAAAATAGATAGATACAATCCATTGTAAAATACAGAAAATCCACTCTAAAAGTCAATGTGATGAAGGAATGAAAATTTTGGATGCCAGTTCCTGTCCTCATTTTAAGTTGCAGCTGAGTATGAGTGCGATTTATCGTCAGAAAAATACAGTAAGATTGCATTAAGGAGAAAAATCTCAGTGGGGCAGCCATTTTGCTTTGTGCCACCACTTGCTGTTGACTGAAAATGACATCACATTGTCAAAGGCCTCAGCTCGCGCATGACACATGACCAAACCCGGACAACAGGTGAGCTGTGGACGTTCTTCATTTTCATAAGCGGGCATTTGAGTCATCTCTGGTCACTCACCGAAGACTTCTTTTACCCGCTGGGTGACCCTACGAGGGGCATAAAGCCCATGACAATTTGGCTCTTCGCGACACTTGGCCACACAAACTCCTCCGCCCGAATCAAGTGTCGGCTCCCGGAGGAGTGCTCGGAACATCAGGTTTCAAAGTAAAGGTCGCCGCACCTGCTTGTTTGGATCATCGAAGGACTTCACAAAAGCAGCAGAGGCACTCGAGGCTGATCTGATCGTATCGGTGCGACCAAGTCGAAACATACGCAGGGAGGCGCTTTCATAGGTCGCGCAACAATGCTGATACATTCTGCAGAGAAAAAAAAAGATGTAAGCAGCGGTCAATGAAAACATACAATATATGATATGATGTGACTTCAGTCATCATCAGCCATACGGCGAGTTTTGGATTATTGCTTCGTTGGCCAAAGAAGGATGTCTTGATCCTGATCGCATCGTCGGAAACTGGGCCCAATCACGTGATCGGAATTGGGGGGAGAAAAGATCGGGTTAAAAAAAAAAAAAGGTATTTTTTTTTTTTAATATTTTAAGGGCTACAAGGCAACAAAATAATCTGGGGGAAACAAAGCAATTGCCAAAAGAAAACAATATGCATTTTTGGGAAGGCACAGAGAAATGATACAACCCCCCGGAAAAAAAACACCCTCTTGGAGAGAAATACCTGTGACTCAACGGCTTCAAATACCAGCGGTCGAGGTTTTCACGCAGCTCACCTGTAGTAAGCCAGTTGTAATGCCACCTGTATGAATGCGTCGGGGCTCATTTTGTGGGCTTTTGCAATGTTTTTTCCAAAGTGGGAGAACACAATAACCCTCATATCCAGGTCATTAGCCAGTCTGCGGGGAAAGCAATGCGAGTTGATTACTTAAGTGACTTCATGATTGATCATAAAGTGGAAAAGGCGGTGCTCACTCATTCATTTTCTGTTTGGCCTCTTCGATATCCTTCTTGATCTCAGGGGTGATGTTGAAGTGGAGCTTTTGGGGCGTAGCCAAAGGCACAGTGGGAGAGTGAACCATCTCTGGCTTCCTCCTGTTTTCACACGGGATACAAATCATAGGGCCCGATTCACTACCATCTCAGATAGCGGGCTCCAAGTTTACGCGTTCACTCTAACAAATTGTCTATCAGCATTGCAATCTTCGACTGGGATCCGAAAAAGCGGGATTGCAATTTTCTACTGAGATCCCCCAAAAGCGGGCAATAAATTGTGTGTTCAATCACTTGAACGGATGGCATACGTTGTTGGCAATTGGTGTCCAAGTGGAAGGGTCGGTAGAATTTGAAAGAGGGTTTTGTGCTTCCGGCAGTTCTGATGATTTTCACCAGGGAAAATCTGGGAGAGCGCCGTCAGCGTCCAAATGACATTTGAATAATATGCAGAGTACGGTCATCCTCAGCTCTCAACTCAAAAGAGTATTTCTAGAGCACTTTAAAACAACCAGCGCTGTATTAAACGTGTTGTACATGGAGCAAAAAGAATTCATATGACAAACAAATTAATAACAAAGACAATAGAAAGCACAAAAACAGTCATATTAAAATTAAGTCTCATGCTGAGTCCAAAACCAAAGAATAAAATTTTGTTTCAACAAGTGTTTGAAGGATGGGCAGCGAGGGGGCTTGCCGAACGTTCAGCAACAGGTCATTCCATAAAAGACGTTTTCTTTGAGTTTACTTGCCCCAAAAGCATGGAAATAGGAGTTTCCTGTCCATCCTGCGTAATCCTGCGTTTAAAATTTTAGAGAAGCCAGCACTAATTTATTGTCACAGTATGTTGGCAATGACCCAGACGCAACAGGTCATTCCATAAAAGACGTTTTCTTTGAGTTTACTTGCCCCAAAAGCATGGAAATAGGAGTTTGTCCATCCTGCGTAATCCTGCGTTTAAAATTTTGGAGAAGCCAGCACTAATTTATTGCCACAGTATGTTGGCAATGACCCAGACACAAGGAAATGCCCAGTACTAATTTATTGTCACAGTATGTTGGCAATGACCCAGACGCAAGGAAATGCCCAGTTGATTATCAAAGGTGACTTTGTGGCTAGCTGCTAATCGGCTCTAAAATCACACTTGCTGAATTTTTGGCTGCTTAAAAGCAAAATCAGCCCTCACAATTTGGCTCAAGTTCAATAAATCACATCCGATGTGCTAAATTCATCTATTTGGTCCTTCAACAATGTACACAATCAACTGCACGGGAAATGTGCGCACTTGATAGACCTGCTTTCACATCTTTGCCCGAGGAAACAAGTTTGTGCCTGTTTTGTACACGCAACCCTTTCGTAGCTCAAGCCCAAAACTGAGTGAGCAGCAGGAAATGCACAGCTATTTCAAGATTTACCGTGCCGATGTCATGATCGAGGAAACAAGTTTGTGCCTGTTTTGTACACGCAAACCTTTCGTAGCTCAAGCCCAAAACTGAATGAGCAGCAGGAAATGCACAGTTATTTCAAGATTTACCGTGCCGATGTCATGATAAGACAACTACTTACGTGTATTCCACCACATGGTCAATCAGAGCTACAATGGGTGGGCCCTCTGCTGGGGCATGCTCATAGTTGGCCCCGCATGTCCCGTCTTCCCCGACAATGAACTGAAACAAAGAATTGTCTTCTTGACAACAAACATCATTTCATGATGCTAAACACACTTCCATTCAGGAAGCTTTTGTCAACTGGAGGCCCAGCTTGAGAGTCGCGTGTCACCTGCAGTGTTTTGTCAAACCAGCGGTTGCCGCTGTTCCACAAACTGCCGCCTCCGTGCAACATCTGCACTGCCGCGCAGCTGCGATAAGCGTCCTCTGGCACTTGAGGCATCGGCCCATCCAAACACAGCGTGAATATACTCCTTTGAATAGCCAGCACCGACTCTTTGTTGGTCCGATCTAAATGAACAAATACATTATGATGTCAAAAGGAATCCAGGTGGAAGACTTGACATGATCACGTTGACTCGAGTCATTTTATGTTCATTTCTCGCGATTGGTATTGAACAGTTAAGACCGCTCGAGTAAGCAGAATGTACCGACAAAAAGGCCGCACGTTTTGACAATTTACCCTTGATGAGGTCAGCGTAAGTCTTGCCCCAGGTGTCACGGTGTTGGGTGGTGAGGATGCCCACAGGCTCCGCGCTGGGCGTTAGGGAGGCGTCGCAGATCCGCTCCAGCTGAACACAGAGCTGTTCGGTCGTCAGCGGTGTTCCATCACGGTTGTAAACGTCCAGCATGAAGAACTAAATTCCAAATGAGACAAAGAAAAGACCTTGTTATTAAGGTCACGGCAAAATATCGCTCTATTAAAATTGCCGCCATATCGTCATCGTATCACTATATTAAAATCAGCACCTCTGTTCAAAGGGCCAAATTGTCTTTCATTTATGCAGTTGCAGCACCCTCGGGTGGTTAGTTTATGAGTGCAGTTGAATTTGAAGTCGTCATGATTCGGCCACTGACAGACTTAATTGGAACAGAAACAAATATTCAAATGAATCATGTTTTTTTATTTTAGCTTTGACTAAAACTGACGCATTTTCCAAACATTGTAAAAAAAAAAAAAAAAATCAGCTGGCTTCATGTGTTTAGCAGGATATCATTTTGGTGGTGTGTCAAACGTTCCAGCGTCACCAATATGTGTCAAGAGCCCATTCTGTCAGGCAGACCAAAGTCAGATGACAGTGAATCATATTTGTGCTCCTCACCTGAAAATTGTGGACAACGGTGATATGTTTCGGGGGCCTGGAGCTTTTTGCATGGTTCACCACAGCATCCCTCTTCAGACCAGGGATACGGCAGGACGAGAGCACTTCATAGTACTGATTCATACACAGTGGCTTCCCTCCCAGGTACTCCACCGGTATGGTCTCGCTGCAGTAGTACAACAGCTCATGTTGATTCCACCGGGGACACAGCAGTCATCTGGGTATTCAAGTTATGTGTACTGCCGTATTAATTATTTTATGTTGAATGTTTCATAGAGCGCTTTGTGACAACCGCAGCTCTTGTGAAAGCGCTATAGAAATAAAGATTTGTCGTATTTTATCGTAAAGAACAAATTAAGACAAAGGGCACGTCATATTTTAGCATAGAAATCATGTCAACATTTTCAATGTATTTTTGACTGTTTTGCTGAAGTGACCGAACCGAAACCCTGACTGTGGTCGTGCTATGAAACCAATGCGCCTTAATAAGCAGTGTATTCTACAATTGATTCTATTCTACAATAATGTGGTAGGTCTTAAAACAAAAGATACTTCAACATATGTGCTTACTTGTCAATCATTGTCTTGAATTCCAAAACACCTGCAATCAGTTTGGCAGCAAACCTGTCGACCGAAAGTGAAGAACAAGGTAAATTATAGTGTAGATCTCGACTTTTATTCGACTAGTCAGTGGCCACTTGCCATCGGGGTGTGGAGAAAAGATTTGCGGCTCTTGTGACAACAATACTTCATAACATAGCGATGTGAATAGACTAAGCGGACACGAGCCAATTACCGTAGTTCTCTCACAATACAACGGATAGAATGAGTCTCTTTCAATGCTTGAAGCACAGTGTGATCACCTGATTTGTCCCTGCTTATCACTGAAGTTCATTCGAGGTAAAACCAAGCCGGGACTCGAATGGATCACCACCGGCAAACGGTAGTCAAGGTAAGCGACCTGCACCCACCATTCTGACAACTACAAAGACACAGTGAACCACCTGAAATTCTATGCACCAGGTATATCCCATTCTAAAAATTCATTCACTATCTCAATAATTTTGTACAACTAATGGGACAAAATCAATGTTATGGTAACAAGTACTGTCCAAAAGCTGATCGATTTTCTATTTATTTATTTTGCACAAGCTCACCCAATTCTCTGCATTTTGCGCTCTCCTCTCCAGGCCTCTCTGCAGTTTTTCACCAACACCTCCAGGTTTCTGAAAGTCATTCACAAGTTCCTTTGTGTGCATCAACTCGTCCACCTCCACGATGGGCTCCAGAGCTGTGATGTAGCGCTCAAAGGTCTGATGCAGAGGAGGAACAGGCAAAGTGGGCAACCCCTTCTGGTGGGTCAAGTATCTCCCAGTGATCCGGGTTGCTGAAACTGGCTTCACCAAGTGGCAAGGTTTGACCAAGCCACCGGGTTTCGCAACGCCCGCCTTGACCTGGAAGATGAAAGACGACCATTTAACATTTAAATTCTGATACGTCATGGCAGTTTTGGTGGATCCACTTCAATTCCTTTGGGTACGATGGTTTCTTCCCTCTTTACACCAAATTACCCATCAGTGTGAATATGAGTGTGAATGGATGCCTGTCTGGATTTGCCCTGTGACTGCCTGGGGGGTGGTATCTCAGTATTGGTTGTGTCTTCTTGCCAAACATCAGCTGGTTCGAATGATTGAAAAAAATCTGAACGTATTACACTGCAAAACTCACCTTTCCCCATCCAAATAGTCGAATAAACAAAGATCTAAAATGCCTTATTTGACATATATTTTTTAGTACGGTCAACATATAATGGGGCACCACAGATACGCCCATAATGTTTTATTACTAATTTTGCAAGTTAATAACGACAAGTGCAATGATTGCTTTTGGGTAAATCTGATTTCTTTGAAGTACAGTACTTTACTGTATTATTTTCACCTATAGAGGCCAAAAGCTGCACTTAAAATCAAAGAACGGTGACGAAAAGACGTATTACCGTATTACACAAATAAAAAGAACGCAACGTTTTGTCCCCTTGGTTTGACATAAATATTAACCTCTTCAAACTGTTTTGACAATTGCCTCTTAAGGACTGAACTACAAGCACCGACTGTTCCGGAAAACAAACAACGTTGTACCGCCAGACCGAATGAGGAAACAAGCTTCTGTTACTTTTAATGATGTAACACAGATTTCACACTCCTTGGTGTATTCGGTTCCGTTTGATAACGTTTTAAATCTTGTGTTTGTATATCTCGCCGACATAGTCCACACAAAACGCTCCTAAGAGGCCGCAAAACACGAGAAAAGCGTTGCCATTTATTGTCTCAATTTGTATGCTAGCTATCTGAAGTTTAAAATTGCAAACAAAGAAAACCACAAATAACCTTTTACCCAGTTAGCGTGCGTGCTAGCCAACGTACTAACAGCGAGTCTGCGCAATGTTGCTGTGAACTGCCACCAACTGAGACCAAACACATCAGTCGAATGTCAGACATTATGTTGTTCATGACACAAACGATCAACCGGTTATTGAAAAATGTACAACGTGATAGGGCTCAACTATCAAGGTCAATTTCTTACCATTCTGCTGCAAATGCCCCACATTCTGAATCTTGGAAACGCCCACTGAGCAAATCATCAAAAGTCAGTGCCCAAAGTCCATCAAGAAGATTTGATTTGATTTAGTCAAGTGTGATTATCTTTACGTTGGACGCAGCAATAGACGGCAAACTTAAACACGCCACCGCAGCCGCACAGTGCGGGTGCCGAGAACATGCAGAATACGACTAGGAAGTCGCAAATGTGTTTCATGCAGATATTATGACCACTGAGAATTCAGGCAAAAAAAATCATTAAAAAAAAAAAAAAAAAGGATCCAAGTCCAAAAGATGGAAATTGCACTTTCCAAGCACTTCCGGCATGCATCGGTCGGGGAAGCAAGTACAGTACAACTGTTACTTATTTCATGAGTTTATAATTTTTTGAATAACACGACAATAAATGGAAAATCAGCATCAGTATGTGTATGTACAAATGTATGCACGGCACTTATATAAAAACGGCATTTTCGAAATGTTTTTGTATACTTATCCAACAACGATGGCGGTAGTGAGACATAGTTCCAGTATTTTCTCCCTCTGAAATCCACGAAGAAGACTGACAGCTTCAAAATGGCGGAATCAGACCAGCAGTCCGGTAAAACTCAGTTGGATGTTTGTTGTCAGCATCTATGAACTTTGTTTTGCTTCTGCTCATGAATCTCGAACATTTAGGAAGATCTGAATGTATGCCGCACGTTCACATTGCACATCAACATGTAACCGTCTAGTCATTGTATAATTATCACAACCACAAGTCTTAGGGAGTCCACAAAAAAGCTTTATTTCCCTCGTTATGCACGTTTAAAGAAACGCTGTTTATATCAGTCATTAATACCAAACGTAGATTTTTTTTCGTTTCGTTACTAGCTACAATCTGCCATAAACCCTGAGCCTGTCAGCTTTACTTAGTAATCACCTTTGAATTGTATTTATACAGTTCAATACTTTTAATCATAAATAAGAGTCTTTAATTATGCTGCGATGCGTGCTTTTGAGAGTCTGAAAAACAATCATTGTTAACTCACGCAGGGAGAACATGCATTCTCAGCATAGGAATGTCAGTGCTGATTTCAAACCCTGAAGCTCAGTGAGGCTGATGTACTTGCCGCAATCGAAATTGTGATCATCATCATGGATCCTTGTCCCACATCCATCCATCCATCCATCCATCATCTGAACCGCTATGCATAAAAGAACTAGCACCAATATTGAGGATATTCACAGTAGATGCTTTTTTTAAAATATATATTGTGCTCATGTTATTGTGCTAGCAGACAACATTAAATTACTGCACATTTCCATGTGACTTCATCTTTTGTAGGAGCCATTTCTGAGAATGAACCACTTGAGGTCACAACGCCCTTCATGGTACCCAAGAAAGAAATTAGCATGGTGCCCGACATGGGCAAGTGGAAGCGGTCTCAGGTGAATGAATGTCCTGTCAGTCGAATCGGCACGTCCAAATGCATAACGGTAGAGCTTGGAATTATTCACCTGTGCCTTTTACAAACATTTCACAAGCCAAGTGCACGTTCTCACAACCGATGCAGGTCATTTTCTTGATATAATTCAATTAATCAAAACCTTTCGTCAGCGAGAAAATGACAACCCGTTGAGACCGAGCTCTCTTTTCCAGGGTGATCTGTCCCAGCACAATTCGTATAACAATAACAGTCCAATGTATACATAAAAGAACTAGGTATACGTAGAAGTAGAAAATAAAAGAAGTCAATACAATCACAAACAGAAAACTGACTTAAACCTCTCAATCGGTGATCCGGAGAAACACATTGAAAATGCTTGCTTAGATGGTCAGCGTGAACGATTGTAATCCGTTGCAGACATTTGCCTGACTGCGTATTCACTGCAAGTTTTTATCCTTATTACAGGCTTACGCTGACTACATGGGATTCATTCTGTCTCTTAATGAAAGTGTGAAGGGAAAGAAGCTAACCTGTAATTATAAAGTGTCTGAGGTATGCTGTTTTTTTTTTTTAAACGAGTGAAATGGTTTCCTGATGTCTCATAGCATATTCTGTTTCGAGGATTCTGGATTGAATGCATTCTTCATGTTTTACAAGACTAACATCCAAAATGAATGAGTAACAAAGAAGTGGTGGTGGTGTTGATTGGTGGTCTCGTGTCTGATTCCTATTGTTGTACTTTTGTATGACAGACGGTGGAGAAGTTACTAGATCTTTTGGGGACTCTGGAACGATGGATAAATGAGACCCCTCCTGTTGACCAGCCATCCCGTTTTGGTAATAAAGCCTTCAGAACCTGGTTTGCTCAATTAGACAAGGTTAGTCAGCACACACACACAAAACACTCCCCCACATTGCGCGGCTTGTTATACGGAGCAATGTTGTTGTTGGCAGGAAGCAGAAGTCTTGGTGTCAGCTGTGCTACCCGCTGACAAGCAAGCCGCAGCTCCAGAGATAGCCGTCTACCTGAAAGAGTCTGTGGGGAACTCTACCCGCATAGACTACGGAACAGGTCTTATTATTGTTTTGTTTTTTTGTTTTTTTTTGATTGTGCAAAAACAAAAAGCACTGATTTGCAGAAACTATGCTCGAATGTGACTACAGGTCGTATAATGTCATGCTTTATGCATGACGTTACACCGTTGGCTCGCCAAAGGTCAAGTGCCCCTCTACAGTTAACAGTTGTATATGTAACCTGGTTGACTCTGAAACAGAATACAGGAAATCCCTCAGTGCTCGCTGGGGATACGGTCCTGCTGGAAATAGTGAAAAAACACCCAGACCCCTCTTAGAAAGCTTCCTAATTCTCTACAGATGCCACAAGATAGTGCCATTGCACTCCTTTTCTATTAGAAAGGCCTTTGGCATGTCCGAATGAAGCTCCTCTGTTCACGTGAACATATTTCCTTGGCCACAAGATGACGCCAAAGTACCAATTTTCTTTCAGAAAAATCTTTAGTGCCATCTTGTGGCACTTTTGGGTCTTTCAGAAAGAACAAAATGGAAAGGCAAGTAACAGGATAGATTCCTCCCGACAAAATACCAGTCAGTGGGGGAGTTCATGTGTAGAAAGCCTGAATAGTTGGAGGCACATTATTAAAAAAAAAACAACAACAAAAAACACTCAAGCTGTGAACAAATTGAATTCAACTTTCCAATGTTGTTGGTTAAACTGATTTTGCATTGTTCACCAAGGGGGTTCCATACAAGCGCCTTCATATGTGAACCGGCCATTAAACAAATTTATTGTACATAAATAAACAAGTGACATACTGCGTTGGTAATTACTGACTATTAGAATTTATTGAAAAAAATAATGATCATCCCTGCATTATAAGTTCTTTAAGCGCCCCATTTCCCATTTGTCTCACAGAGTGAAACTGCACATTTCACATGTCATGTTTTTTCCTTTCAGGTCATGAAGCTGCGTTTGCTACATTCCTTTGCTGCCTCTGTAAGGTTGGGGCTCTTAAAGCGGATGATCAGCTCGCTATTGTTTTCAAAGTTTTTAACAAGTAAGTAGTTGCTACTGTGGACTCGGCGTTATTGGGTTTGTTCTTCCCATTTAACACAATAAACCAAATCCATTTCTTCAAAACATGGCATTCCACAGGTTTTTGTTACTGCCTTTCACATCTCCCAGTCCATCACTTATCACTTTAAATTGGTGCTGCTGTTAAATCTGGCGTCTTTCATGTGAGGCAGCTGGCTACAGTCAAGCCTCTCCTACTGAACGTTCTGCAAGCTCACTCGCCTATCTTTCTAACCTGTCTCAAAACTCATTTCTGTTCTTTGGCTTTTAACTCAGCATGACTCAGACTTGATTTTTAGTTTGACCGTTTTTGTGCTTTCTAGGGTCTTCGTTCTCAATTTATTATTTTATTGTTTGTTGTTGCAGTAATTATTTTTGCCCCATGTACAGCACTTTGTATACAGTGGTGGTTGTGCTCTAGAAATACACTTGAGTTGAGTTACATCAAATCATGACCAGTTTAAATACTTTTTTTTAGGTATCTCTCAGTGATGCGGAAACTTCAGAGGACCTACAGAATGGAACCAGCTGGAAGCCAAGGTGTCTGGGGCCTTGATGACTTCCAGTTCCTACCTTTCATATGGGGTAGCTCACAGTTTGTTGGTACGAAGATTTTCAAATAAGAATTTACAAAAAAAAATGTTCATATATAATTTTCCCAGCATCAACAAACAATGGTTTGTTTATTTGTTTATCTAATGAACATACCAACAAGTGCTTGTTGACTATTTGGAATAGCGAACGTCTTCAAACAGAATTTCTGGATCTGGACCATTAGATGCATGGTGGAGTAATGCTTGTGCTTTCTTGAGTGCATTGTTGCTCTCCCGCCTGACCTCCACCAGAGTGAGCGCGTTGAAATGAGAGCATGACAAGTTAACTAGTGACACCTGATGGCCAAGATATACAATTGCAGCACTGTCTCCCATAGATCACCCAACCCTCGAACCTCGGCACTTCGTTGATGAGAGGGTGGTCAACGAACATCAGCAAGACTACATGTTTCTGGAGTGCATCAAGTTCATTAACGAGGTGGGACAATGAAACTCTTGACATTTGACCCCCCAAAAAATAATAACAATGATTGCAAAGCAGGATTTAGTTGCAGGAACGCAACATCAAATACGCATTGGTCATGTTAAAACTGGCTTAAAACTAATGTTTAAAAAAAAAAAAAATGCTGATTTTAAATTCTTTGAATCGGTGGTGCCCAAAATACAGCCCGGGGGCCATTTGTGGACTACCATCCATCCACCCACCAATTTTCTGATCCGCTTATCCTCACAAGGGTCGCGGGGCGTGCTGCAGCCTATCCCAGCTGACTTCGGGCAGAGGGCGGGCTACACCCTGAACCGGTTGCCAGCCAATCGCAGGGCACACAGAGACTGAAAACCATCCACGCTCACACTCACACCTAGGGACAATTTAGAGTGTTCCACTAACCTGCCACGCATGTTTTTGGAATGTGGGAGGAAACCGGAGTACCCGGAGAAAACCCACTCAGGCACGGGGAGAACATGCAAATTCCACAGAGGAAGGCCAGAGCCGGAATGGAACCCTGCATCTCTGCGCTGTGAGGCCGATGAGCTAACCAGTCGCCCACTGGGCCCATTTGTGGGCCGTCATCCATTTTTCAGCGTCCCACGACATGACTAAAAAAAAAAACAAACAAAAAATGACATTTAACATGGGTCGCGAGATTAGTCAAAAAAGGTGAGGTGGGCAGAATGAGGCATAGCTATACTTGAAGATACAAATAAATGATTAAAAGAAAAACGCCACTGATTTTCAGAACACGGGTGAATCAAGATAATTCAATTTTCAAGGCAAACATTGTTTCTTGCATTTTGTGCTGATTGATGAAGGCAT